CGGGTGGTTGCCTCACAATTCTGTAGCGCTCAGATGAGGTGTCAGAAATTGAGGTCAGCCCTCAGGACTGTCTGGCTTCTCACAAACTGTTGTACATTTACCAGGAAAGCTAGTAAAGTTAACGTTTCTTCTCAGATAGTTTATAGTCGTCTCTGTGAGACTGATCTCATGTCACTATGGGCATGCATTCGCATCCCGCTGACCCGACTTCACAGCCAGGCACGTTTGGATTGAACTGAAGATCACTTTAATTGGACGGACCAGGGCTGGGCTACAGTACATTTTACAGATGAATCGAGATAATGTCAAGACTTTTCGTGGCCGAATGTGGCCTAGACAACGAGAACGATTTCAGGACTCTTGCGTACGAGACAACGACCGCTGTGGAGGGGGCTCAATCATGATTTGGGGTGGGATCAGTAGAGCTGGTGAACCGATCTCCATGTCCTCCAACGGGGCACGATGACAGGTGTGCACTACAGGATGACATTCTGGATGTGTACCTGAGACGGCATGCTGGTGCAATCGGACCAGACTTCATCCTAATGGACGATAACGCACGACCCCACCGTGCCAGGGTCGTTGATGCCTACTCAGAGTAGGAAACCTTTGTCCGCATGGAGTGTCCGGGCCGGTCACCAGACTTCATCCTAATGGACGATAACGCACGACCCCACCGTGCCAGGGACGTTGATGCCTACTCAGAGTAGGAAACCTTTGTCCGCATGGAGTGTCCAGGCCGGTCACCCGACCTCAATCCTATCGAACATATGTGGAACGAGCCGCAGATCGCCCTTTCACGACGCCATGTCTTTCGGGCAACTCAACAGGAACTCGTCAATGCTCTTACTGAAGAGTGTGATAATCTTTCCTTGCCAGACACGTATTATTACAAACATCCATCTGTGTGTAACGTATTGAATTATTGGGTAATATTGAATTATTGGGTAATATTGAATTATTGGGTAATATTGAATTATTGGGTAATATTGAATTATTGGTTTTTCGCGAACACCTTGTATCATCACTATTTGATAGTGAGGGAGTAGTGCACTTTACCGGGCGCACTTTTTCAGATCCAATTAGCGCTGTGGGGGCTCGAACGCTAATTAATGCGTTAATTAGCCTACGCTCTACCACTGGACCACAGGCGCTATCACATGTAATCAGTGCTCGTTTAACAGGTCATTAGAATCCCCATTGACAAGCATGCGTAATTCAGTAAACAATGAATTGCGCATGCGTGTGACGTCACTGCCCGCTCTCCGATTCATCTTTTCTTGAAACCACACCCGCAATTGTTTATGTCAACATGACCGACCAATGGGATTAACTGGATTAACGCTTGAAAAGGTAAGAATTTATGGCTAACCCTTGCCCAAAGCCAGCTGACCCTAATGACCGAAAAGGGGTTTTGGATCGTAAAGACGTGTAAGTTTCCCTAAGACCGAAAACGGGTGTTGGATCGTAAAGACGTGTAAGTTTCCCTAAGACCGAAAAACGGGTGTTGGATCGTAAAGTTGTGTAAGTTTCCCTAAGACCTAGAACGGGGGTTTGATCGTAAAGATGTGTAAGTTTCCCTAAGACCGAGAACGGGTGTTTGATTGTAAAGATGTGTAAGTTTCCCTAAGACCGAAAACGGGTGTTGGATCGTGAAGCGAGAGTCACCAGAGCGTGAGGCACGGTAACGGTATAACGAGACAGCGGTGGCACTATAGCGCGGTAATTGAGCGGATGGTAGAGCTCGGGCTGCGCCCGGTAAACTTGTTTGGGAGCAGTGCACTTTACCGGGCGCACTTTTTCAGATCCAATTAGCGCTGTGGGGGCTCGAACGCGCTTCGCCGGCTCACCGGCTCTGCTGTTGGGGAAATTTGTGTTTCAAGTGTCCACCTCATCTTTATCCCGTTACATTAAACTATTTAATGGCCATTCGTGGCTTGTGCTAACAAAAGAATCCTAACATAAGACTTAAAGTTTAAAATCTTGGCGTTCGGCATTAAAGGGGCACTGATCTAACGCAATTCCCCGGGACTGGTTGTTGCCTTTGTTATTGTTTTTCCCAGTGAGTACCCGGATGTATAGCAGAAATCTAGACTAGTTCGCGACCTCTGCTGCGCCATTCGTCACTTGTATGGGTAGTAATAAGGGCGTATGGTCACATTGATCAACAAAATGAAATACAGTTTTCGAGATAATAAGGAAATGTAGGTATCTTTGTGGGTAGCATCGGTAATGGTGACGTAGTTATAATAAGTCACTTGCTTGGTAATTTTGCGATTTTCGTTTACACTATTTTGACTTGCAACACAAAGTTTCACCTGAGCATTGCTTTTTGATAGTGTGTATATTTTTGTCAAAATGTGTAACATTTTAAAATTTATTAAACGCCTAAATATTCAGTTATTTAACAAAGTGACTGAAAAACATTTCCATCTGTATTATTATGATAACGAATTCCAAACATTTTGATGTTTAATGTCATCACCAAGAGACTGAAAATGTTACGTTGAAAAGTACATTTCTATGTTGTTTGGCTTCTAATCCTACATAATAATCTGTTGTGATGTTTGTAGGCCCTTTTGATCGTCTTAATCAATCTGGACAGGTTTTTTAGTCAAAATGACTGAAATATTTACACATTTTATAAATTGCCTGAGAGAATTACATTTTACAAATTGACGGTAATATATACATGCTTACAAGGGAAAAGGCGTGTGTAAACAACGTCTATCGCGCATTGAAGAATTTCCCAACCAAGACGTAGAAAAACAAGGACGAATCGGTTCAATGCTACAGCAAATGAAGGAAAACAAAATGCAAATACCATAAGTACAACCTACCAAATTTATGTGTATAAATTTTAGGCAGCTTCCTTGTTCGAGGAATGTATTCGTAATATCCACACAAAGGAACAATAGCCCACTCGTCTGCAGCTGTACAAAGAAACTTATTCGATGTCAGGTGTCTCTGTAACAATCACATATTTTAAAAGATATATATCGTTTCTCAATTGATCACTTGGATTGTTTCAGGTGTTTCACATAGGTGTCAAGTCTCAAGGGTCAGCTGAGAAAGCCCACGTGACAACTATTTTCATAACGTCCACGGTTCCTAAAAAATCCATTGAGTGATAGATAACAATGATCAATCAATCAACGTATTATCAGTTAATCCTTTGAACAAAGTATGTTGTTTTTACATCGACACTTCACGCCATGATATGAGTGTATTCCCTTTGTTTCAGTAAACTTAGACATGTAAACACTCACTTTTGACATATCCACTGTGCAAGATAACAGTGATTAATCAATCAACGTATTTTCTGTTAATCCTTTGATGACTAGGAACGATCCATGGATTTACAAAAAAAAGGAAATCAACTGATCATTCACCTCTTGCTGGTCTGCCACGTGCATATTACATAACACACATTTCACCTCACTTCAAACCTGGATTTAGATTGAATAATTACCCCAGACACAATAAATGCCAAATGGGAACCTTTGTCAGGTAATCTAAGTGGTGCTTCCACTAATTGTACATGTAATAAATTCATTAACTGAGCATCAAGTGAATGACGACAAATACACAAGTGTAGGGTTTTACCAGAAAACGTGGATGACAACAAGGGAGTAGTAATCGTATTATCGACGCAATCCGAAATCCGAAAATGCTTTCACTGCACGGATACTTTTTTTAGTGTTAAACTACAACCATCTGGGGTATTTCCAAATGACGACATCCGATGAGCTCCGCCGTTCTTTTTGTCTGTTAGTTGAGGCTGAAGAAATTAATTAACATGCGCCCTTTGTTGAAATCTTTTTAGATCACGGTTAACCAATCATTGTTTATGCCAAAATGCGTAAAACAAATATTGCCTCCAGCCTCCAAGTTTATTTAGCTGTCCTTGCAGACGGTAGCCAGTCTCTGGTCACGCTCAGTTGCGTTGCGTATCATCCGGGTACTCGCGGGGAAAAAAACAATAACAAAGGCAACAACCAGTCCGGGGAATTGCGTTAGATCAGTGCCCCTTTAAATGGATAAATCAAGTCGGCGGAGAGTCGGTGTACTGTGTCTGAGTGGGGTATTTAAGTTAAACTGCGCTTCGGATCGCTGCACCAAAAACCGTCATAGTCAATGTTAGTACAAACAGCTTCACGTACACATATGCACCCGCACACGCACAGACACACACACACTCACACACACAGACACGCACGCACACGCATACACACGCATACACACGCACACGCACACTTGCATGTACGTCGCTATGTAAGTGCAATAATATTCAACATTTCGTTAAATATTTGAGGCCCTTCACGGCAGGTACATGATTCGCTAATCAGGAAATATGTTAGCCCTGACGATCTAGTTGCGTACGTGGACAACTTCATGAAATGAAAGTTGAACGTATTAAACTGTAGGAAGAACACGGTAATTGCAGAAAAATATATTATTTGTTCAGATTCTAAATTAATTGTACGGACAATTTTTAAAGAGTCGCTAGTCAAAAAGCCACAGACGGCAATTATGCGGCATATCAATCAGGTCAGTTATATGTTTATGATATACACAGCTCCTCATCCGGATGATATGATTATATAACACATTCCTAGACGGGCATACTTAGGGACATAACCAATAAAGCGACATACTCCAGTGTAGATGAATACAATATACTTTATAAAACAGGCAGTATTTTAACTTTTGAAAATCTACTTTTCTTTAAGATGGGATTCCTTCTAAAAGCCAGCCCCAGCCCTGACCATATTCCCACTGGTGTAAGCATCCATCTGACATAAGGGAGTACATTAGTTAGAAGTTACATCTCATCATCACAGCCATATAGTGACGAGTTCTGACATTAGACCGTAACATTAAATTTAACATGGAGTTAACATACTCTAAGTTTACATGATCATGAAAATAAGCTGACAAAAATTAACTGCATGTGTTAACTAGTAATTGCGTTGGCAGTCTATGGGTAGCTTGCTTACCTGTGATTGACACTGTGGTCTGTTCGGTTGGAAGGTCGGACCTGATTGACAGTCCCTCGCAGTGCAGATGAGAACCTGTTTTCCCCTTTATGACATGCTTTGTATCCTGCAGGTGTGGGACCGTCTCAAAGACATTACAACAGTTTCATGATATATGAACCCTAGGCTGTCATCTAAAGCGTACAGTTATGTAAATATGTCACATTGTGATATATACCATTTTAATGTACTTGCTACGTCTGATATTACTAAAGATACCATTATTTTCCTATATTTTCTTTTTAATGAACTTTTGATACGGCCCCTCAGTGTAAGGTACAGTCACCATGTCGTCTTTTATAGTTAATCATATCATTGTGTTCTTGCGTGCGAATAATAAAATCTTTGTTGAAGGGGGAAAACAACTTTCATAAAAGCTTGAATGCCATTGGTCAGTGGCAATGAAACAAACCCGACCTTTGAACTCTTAAGGTTCAGTTATAAAACGCAGACAAAACAAGGTCAGCGTCACAAAGACGAACCTGGTTAAATAACATGTTCTTTTTGGACACATTTTGATGTTATTCAACCTTAAACAGATATTCGCTTGTTCCAAATGTATTAGTGTATGAGTGATCGGGTTGAGTTTAACAGTACGTCTGTTGTATCAGGTCGTTTCACCTTAACGTGGGAGTATGCCACAGTAACGAGGGCATGCGGATTTCATAAGGCCATAGGCTAACATTAGTCAAAGAAATAAAGTTTTCTTATCTAAATAATTTTACACACATATCTACAAAATAAAAACAACAAAAAGCAAATGCGACCGAGAACAATGCTTAATTTTTGCTGAGGCAGTCTATTAACTTGAGATGGATTTATTTTGAAATTTAGTCTCTTGGGTCTGGGAGAGACTCGTGAAGTCCATAAGCAAGGATACTATGCTGACAGACCCAACACCACAATCGGGACAATTCTGGGATTCGAACCACTGACGAGCGAACACTCATGGCTAGCACATGTACTCTGCACAGACAGTTTCGACGTCTTGGACTACTCTGCTACCCGTGCATCTCTGAGAACACGACGATGTCGTATAATTAAGCTTAAACTGACATATACTCACTCACTCACTCTGGAAGTATGATAAGCAAGTGGCATTAAATACGGAAAAGCTATGGTGAAACTAAAGATTCAATGTTAAGGGTCGAGAACTAGTGCTACAGGTAAAGTCGGTACAACAAATATTGTTTGGCAAAAAGATATGCGAAATATTTCTTTACAATCTTTCAGGGTATTGAGAAATTGTTAATATCTATAGCTCTAACTATCAATGCAAATTTGATCCGACAAGTCTGACAACTTCGCTCACCCAATGGGTTTCTCCGGCAGGTAAGGTGATACGGTTGGGAGGTTTTCGACAGGTATCGAATATTACTTGTTTACGCCAGTAGTATAGTCTCAGTCCGCAGAAACCTTTTTTGGTTGATCCGGTTGATCCAGGCGGATTCGAAGTTGATTGGCTGATCCAAGTCACGTGATCAGATAGGATGACTCATGCATCAACAGCACGTCACAGGTGAGGGGGAATGAAAGGTGTGTGTTTATAAGGCAGAAAAGAATTCATAAGAAAACAAAAGTAAAGGGTTATGAATAGAGCTATGTGTATAGCGTGCTGCTCTAAATAGACACACCGTACCCGTCAGCCCAGTTTGAATTGAGACAACCTGTATGGAAAAAAATATAGACAAAATACATAAGACTACACAATCAGCAAGCTAGCAGTGTAGTTTACATTTAGCGCGCAACAACGAGGTAGTCCCGTCACCCTGCATTGACTATAACGCTGAAGGCAGCCGGATTTCGAATCACCCGCGCTGCGTACTTTTGTGAACCATTTGTATAGAGGGCGTTCACTTATTCAGGCCTGTCCCGACTTGCATAGTTGATGTTTCAATGCTAGCTTTCCCTTTTAACGCGATGATAAATAAACCGTGCGGTTTGACATGATGATATTTCTCCGCTTGTAATGGCGGATGGATTTGCGGCGGCGGCGGCGGCGGCGGCGGTAGCGGACGGGCTTACGGCGGCGGCGTTAGCGGGTGGGCTTGTAATGGCGAGTGGACTTGCGTCGGCGGGTGGGCTTGTAACTGCGGCGGTATGCTATGTTTATTTCTCCTGTGTCGTAACATGACATCTCTCCTTGAAAACATTATTTCACAGTCCGGACAGGTGGCAACCCCCATGGTGATCCAATACGGTGTGCGATTAGAGGGTATGAAGCTTTCTTTTATACCCTTGACTCTGTTGACGCTTCAAGGCAGCAAGTGCCCGTTCCACCACAGCCTTCACCTCCAACACATGTTGTATTTTCACGGGTTGGTGTGTTGTCTTCGATCCCTGTTTGGTTGTCATCGTTTTCATTTTAGGTGTTACCTGTCTCTTCTTTGTCTTCAGCGTCGACTTCTTGGCTGCTTGTGGTTTCTTTCTCTGTTGTGATTTTCTCAACGTAGTCTTCCTAAATATATCTCTAGGGTCAAGTCTAATCTCTGACGCTTTCTTCATGTTGTTCACGTCCAATCCGTTTGCTGGCGAGAGTAAAACTGTTTGTCGGGCTACACTACTGTAGAGTTTATACTGTCTTACACGTGCAGGGATTCTTGGAAGACACTCTTTTCTTCACAGAACACTTGTGAGTATGTTAAAAAAGCGATCATATTAGTATATAGTCTTCGTCATACTACACCCGTGAAGGTCCGGGTTATAGAATCGACCTTCAGTAACCCATGCTTATCGGCGACTGACGGGGATCGGTTGGTCAGTCTCGCCGACTCGGATGACACGTGGCATCGGTTCCTAGTTGCACAGATCGCTGCTCATGCTGTTGATCACTGGATTGTCTGGTCCAAGCTCGTTTATTGACAGACCACCGTCCTAGAGCTGGAGTAATGCCGAGTGTGGCGTAAACTTAAATTCACTCACTCACTGATACCAATACATCTAAAAAGTAATTTCATCATTTAAATGGTGAGTTTAAACGCGTATTTTACCCTTACAAGGACGAGTGCATTCCACACACCCTTCCTGTTATCAATGTGTCACTGTTTACAGTTCGGGCGAACATAACCCTATAGACATGTGTGCGGGCGAGTTCATTCATCAGAAATCTGTCATTTACGATGTGTTTATAAATATGAACTGCTAACCACGCTCATAGTCATGTTGCGTGTCGTGGTTAGAACCGTAATTGATCTATTGAAAGGTGTCATACATTCGTGTTCGGATATAGGTACAACATCTTCACGCACATACTTTCCTACATCATTCAAATGTATTAAATACCGGATACGTTTAATAGACACCAACGAAAGAAAGGTTTAATGAGGGGAATACCCATATATATCCTCTCTGCAATAACTCCCTTTTAAAATAACAAATGTACAACACATCTTCCCTAACATATGATAAATACGGGACACTGGTCACACAATTTATGAATGGGAAGCTTCAGTGGAGGCTGGTATGTTGACATTAATTGTAAGGCCGGGGCATGCTGACATTGTTATGGGCGGTCGGTCGCTTAGTCGTGCTCTGATATACATTAGCTATGAATAAACCTGCTTCGACATATATTTCCAATAAAACATTTTCCTCGTCAAACAATTTTCCATGATAAACTCTGTTCTCTCTTCGAATTAAGGGTGAGTATTGTAAACATGAAAATGTCCTATAGATTGCTTCCATCACTTTCCCAACAAACCTAGCTTCGTGCTATCACATTGCTACATGTTCTTATCAGTTTTCTATTGAACATAGAAATGATTCTATCCATACGTATTTCGAACCATCTATTGTAAAAATAGCACGTTCTGAAGTAAAACTGTGCAAGGAAAGGAAAAGCTAGCATTGAAACATCAACTATGCAAGTCGGGACAGACCTGAATAAGTGAACGCCCTCTATACAAATGGTTCACAAAAGTACGCAGCGTGGGTGATTCGAAATCCGGCTGCCTTCAGCGTTATAGTCAATGCAGGGTGACGGGACTACCTCGTTGTTGCGCGCAAAATGTAAACTACACTGCTAGCTTGATGATTGTGAAGTCTTATGTATTTTGTCTATATTCTTTTTCCATACAGGTTGTCTCAATTCAAACTGGGCTGACGGGTACGGTGTGTCTATTTAGAGCAGCACGCTATACACATAGCTCTATTCATAACCCTTTACTTTTGTTTTCTTATGAATTCTTTTCTGCCTTATAAACACACACCTTTCATTCCCCCTCACCTGTGACGTGCTGTTGATGCATGAGTCATCCTATCTGATCACGTGACTTGGATCAGCCAATCAACTTCGGATCCGCCTGGATCAACCGGATCAACCAAAAAAGGTTTCTGCGGACTGAGACTATACTACTTACGCCTCCACGTCACCGAGATACACCTACCACTGATTCATACTATTCAGCGAAGTATGACATAACCCTTGGCTTGACATATATAGAGAAGTTACTTTGAATAGCGTTACCATAAATAAAAATCCAAATTAAAATGAGGGTTTTAAGTTAAGGAGTCTAATTCATTTTAGTAAATATCTCTAAAATTCAGTCCGATTTTTCAAGCAATATGTATACTGACTGAAAATTTCGGTCAATATGTACATTGCCTGAGTGAATCAGTCAATAAACGTATTGACAGAATTTTTCAGTCAATAATCATATTGCCTGAATAAAACATTAACGATATATATACAGAGAGGAGAGAGAGAGAAAGAGAGATGGATGGATGGATGATGGATGGATGGATGGATAGATAGATAGATAGATAGATAGATAGATAGATAGATAGATAGATAGATAGATAGATAGATAGACAGATAGATAGATAGATAGATAGATACTCATCCTTTTGAGCTCATAACAACTTCACTGAACAAAGACATCAGCACGACTCGTGTTACGGTCTGCGTCAAGGTCTGTGATGTAATTTATAAATGTTAAAAGTAAAAAGTGAGAGGTGATTATGCAACACCACGGGACCTAGAACAACATAACAGTGGACACAGCTATTTATACTTGGGTCTATGTCAATATGTTACCAAGGCAACAGCTCCTTTATAATTGTTTTCAAGCACCTCCACCAATATGAACTCTTAGGATGACAGCACACAGGGATTTATGGCATTTTTTAACTTTTCAGACAAACAAAAGTAAGTAAACTAAATACACCCATATGAATCACCAGATCCTCTTTACTATGCAGCTGATTAGGTCTACGTCGACCGTGGCGTCACGTGTACCAAGAGTAAATGACCATACTATTTGAAACAGCCGCCTTCTCTCGGACATATTTCTTCCGGTGCGTTACAGGCTGACTGTTGCAGTTCTTTTCGCCTCTTGCCTTAATTGACAGGTCCAATGAACATTGTTTTAATTCCACTCTCCGTTGATTGGCTACTGACTGTGTAGGCGTGTCAAGTTATGTGCATAAATTAAACGATCACCTGATTCATGTCACGCCACTGTATGTATTCATACACATGGAATGTTTATCAATGTCGTCATTTTTGTCTGTTTTGATATATGCAACTGTTTTGGGTTAAACTATTGTAGATAAAACATGTTTTACGTTGTCGAATTTAATTATAAGCATTGACTGTATATCTTTTTCGGTTCATTGAGGTATGAATCGAAAAACCGATGTGCAAACTTTTGTAAGAATCCGCTACGCGGATTCATACAGTTTGCACATCGATTTTTCGATTCATACCTCAATGAACCGAAAAAAATACACAGTCAATCATTAAATGTGTACACAAGGTAGGAATAATATACTTTGTTATGTGTCGGGTTTTCATTGCGTTGTAGACCCGTGAAGATCCGGGTGGGGAATAGGTCTTCAGCAACCCATACTTGTCGTAAATTGTGACTATACTTGTCGTAAGTGGCGACTAACGGGATCGGGTAGTCACCTAGGCTCACTGACTTGGTTGATGCATGTCATCGTATCCCAGTTGCGTAGCTCGATTCTTATGATGTCAATCAGTGGATTGTCTGGTCCAGGATCGATTATGTACAGGCCGCCGGAATAGCTGTAATATTGCTGAGTGCACGAATTTTTGGAACAAGTGTTTGACAAGTGTTTTATTCGCAACCAGAGCTTCGATTCGGAAAGGACTTTTTTATTTGGGTCTCACCAAATATACACTACATTACCCGTGATAACATACTGTCGAAATTACCGATTGTGGCCGAACATGAGTGAATGAGTGGGTGAGTATGTTTAACGTCGCGTCCAAGATAATTGCACTTATATAGCGACGTGCATGCACGTGTGTGTGTGTGTGACTGCTTGTACTAGTCCGGACTGATGCCGATTTAACATGAATACCCCACTCAGACACAGTATACTGCTTCCGAGCCGACCAGTCCTTGTTTTAGC